ACTAGTGAAAACTGAGCTCCTCAGTGGATGCTCTCAATGAGAATACAGAACTGGGACATGAAGAATCACTCCAAAGAAATCTGTTTTTTATATACATACTTACATACATATATAAGTTGCAATTATTATAAATGAAAGATCTTCACTGAAGGCATCGGGAGATGTTATACCTTAATGATCAGAGAAAATCCAACTTCTGGTTATTCTCATTAGTCAACAGAGTTAATCTATGAATGTCAGCAAAGCCTGGGCTAAGATGACCAGACCTGCAGAGATCTAAAGCAGCCACTCTGTGGGAGATGCTGCTGCCCATAGCTGGCTCTGGGCCACTTGGCAGAGCAATTGACTTGTCCAGGTGGCTATGAGAGGTTCTGGACTGATGAAGGTTGTCTAGGCATGCTTCAGTCAGCTTCTCCTTCTTCATTATTGTTGTGATTAATTAATGTTAATGTTACCGAGCTTTAAAATGGTATCATTTTGCTCAGCAATTCTGACTAATGAGCTTATCTGCTTGCAGGAGGCACTAAACTCATTGCTATTCATTGCAGTCAAAATAATGTTGAAGCTCCTCCCTTCCCATCCACGCACCCCAATGGTAGTACAGACTAGGGTCATTCTTAGAAGCAGGAATAGAATGCTCATGCTGAACTTTTCTGTTAGAGCTGTGGACTCCATTAAACATTAATTGCGAGGTTCTCTTTGAGAAGTGCAGCACTGCACCTCATTGTGGCATCTGTTCTCCTAATTACCTGCTAGCAATTTGGGTCAAAGACCTGATGGCTGAATTTTCTCCTTTCAATGAATCTCTCAGAGTGTAAGAACAGTAACGAGAACTGAACTCAGAAATCTTCCTAAAACTTAGAAATAACAGCTGAAGATTTTTATTTAATGACCATTAATAAAGATTTCCATTTATGTACACACTCGCTGCCTCTCATCACATTACTGACAGAGACGTAAGAAAACAAGCAGTGAAGAGACAAATTTTTAATTCTCTAGTTATCAATTTTGTGGGTGCCAGGTTTGAAGAGTTAGTAAACACAGCCAGTTCAGATCACTGATAACACAGTATATAAGAAGCTTTTGTATTGCACACAAAATCTTATTGTACGTAAAAGCAAAATAAGCTTTCAATACATTTCTGATCTCGAATTTCCTAGGGATAGGTTTGTTTCCAAGAGACTTTGTGTTTTCCTCTCTCTCCAGCACCCAACAGTCCAGGAAAACTGCAATTACAACACAGCCTGCATTTTGAATGTTTGTGTCCTTTTCATGGTAGTTTTTCAGATGAATTCATTTTCTCTTTAATTTATCAGAGAAGAATAGGTTAGTTTACATCTTTGTGATCAGTCTTTAACAGACAGAATAGAAAGAATAATTTTGCTAATTTTCAAGTGTTCTACACAGTTTGTCAGAATCATAACCTTATAAAAATAATTACTATTTTTGCTATGTGGCAGTTCATTCAAAAACCCAAGAACTTTTGGTCTCCATAGTGATATGTTCTTAACATCTATTTCATAAACTTTGCAAATCTGTGAATTCAAATGAAATTCCTTGAATTTTCTCTCACCCATGTTTCATTGGTTAGAGGGTGTATGTTGCTCTGAAAGTAATGCCTTCTATTTATTTCTGTAAGCATTACAACAGATACAAAGAGCACATTAACACTGTTTGATAAAGCAAATTCTCAGCTACAAAACATTCTTTCTCAACACAGTCACCACCATCAGAGATGAACGAGAGCCTGCATGCCATGCTTGTAAAAATCTGCACCAGCGGAGGTGCCCCACTGTCAGCATTACTGAAATGCACCACCCACGACCTCACTGTGCTCACATCCACTGCTTGGTCTCTGTAAACGTTCAGCAAACATTGATGAATGTCAGTAGGTGCCATTTTTTCCACATGGAGGAATTCAGTTCCACCCCTTTGCTTTGTCCACACTTACATGTCAGATGCCATTCTGTCAGACTGCCCCTCTGCTGCCATCTGTCACACAGCAACAAAGTGTAATGGAATATTGGTGGGAAGGTTCAGCCTCTGCTCTCTTACCACCAACATCTGCCTCTGATGTTGTGGGCCAATGTAATAAAAAGGAGGCATTACTTTTGGAGCAGCCCTCATGTTTCTTAAGTGGAAGGACAAATGTGAGCTGTCATCTTTTGCTCTCATGTTTTTTTTTTTTTTTCTAATATATCCTAAATCACCCCACTGTAATTCTATTAAAGCCCAATATTATTTGATTTATTTTTAAAAAACCCCAACAGGTCTGAAATAATAATATCTGGGAGCAAATTCAGATTGGTTTTACTAATTGGCTTCAGTGGAGTTGAATTAGCAGCTGGTATAAGATGCTTTTTATTTTATCTATGCCACTGGCAGTACCTTCCGTGTCTGGACACAAGAAGCAAACTAGGAGTCAAACATATATTTAAAATTATTCAGTTTTTCTGGTGTTTCCTCCTGACTTTGTTTGTCTTTCCTTCTTCCCGGTGAACCAGAATTCTGCTGCATGAAATAATACTAATTGGTTGATTTGCTAAAACCAATTATACTGAATTCAGTATAATTTCTGCTTATTTGGCTCCAATTGGCAAATGTGATATGGACATGGATTTTTACAGACATCTTGATATCTGACTGTTGTAATAGTTCTCTCTTGGGAATCGTGAATAACAATAGTGAGAATCATTACACTGTGCAAATGACAAAAATACATGATGCGTGTGCTTTTTGGAACATTTTCTTCCGTAACAAAACTCACAATGTCTAAATAGTGTGACATAATGATTTCTGAAGTGTGGTGAGGCAGCCTGGGAAAGGTACAGCTTTATACCAAGTTCCTTGTCAAGGCTTCTATACTACTGAAGCAGATGCTATTGATGTTTCATGTCTGGATTTAAGGTTTTTATACTCACATTGTGTACGGAAAGTAGTCTTGATTTCCAGATAGATTTTGCTTTTTGTACTTGGCAGGCTTTTCCTTTCACTGCTGTATCTTTCTGTGTTGGAATGGAATAAAAATGTTTCTAAGGAGCAAATTTTTACGAAATACAATCTGTACTAATATTAACTTAGTTCAAGCCTCCATCTGATGACTAACGGAGGACATGAGCTGATGCTGGAATATTTGGGAGGAAACTGCAGTCCATGTGGGAACCTTCAGCACTAGCAGAGAATTTTGACTTACAGAAAGGCAATGAAGAGAGATAAGCTGGAGGGTACAAACAATGCCACAGTGTTTTGCTATTTATACTTTTTAAATTTATATGGGCTGAGATACACAAATCTAAGTGTCCTCAGGCAAAATTAATTAAATTAGAGAATTGTCTCAAAAGTAAGTGGCAGAAATATCCCAAGGGAAAGATCAGATTTTGAACTACATGAACTTTTCAAAAGTAGCTTGCACAGGCTCATAAGAGCTAATGAGGATGTAGGAAAACATGACTGCCAATGAAAATTGGTTATCCCCATTTGTTCAGTGCCATGAAAATGTTGAGTGTCTCATTGACACTAAGGAAATATTGAAGTACGGCCTAAGAACTTTGAGGCATCTTCTAAATAACAAAGTTGTTTCTTTTGGAGAGCTGCACAGTATCGTGGCTTGTTCACTTATAGAGGGAATTATTTTTGGTGTCACATCAGCTGTGCTCAGCACAGATCCAGTTAATTGTTTTGTGTGCTTTGTGATTTATGACAATTTTTCTCATTATGTTATATCTCATGCATTTCCAAGTTTCTTCTTTCTCTTGATGGCTTCTGACCTTCTAAATGATTCCGTCAGGTGAAACAGCACCAGATGCTTTCTAGAGATTCTGGTACTTTTCTCTTGTAGTATTATGCTTACCATTTCAGTAATAGTGAAGGAGAAGAAAAAATAATTGTGATTTTCCTCTTGTAAATCCAGTTTTAATCTTCCTTTCCTTATGCACTCCAACTTTGTCTGTGATCTTTTGTTATTCTAGTTCTCAATATCTTTTTTTTTTTTTTCTATCAGGTTTGGCCACTTTGTTGCTGTTCTTATATGTTATTATTTCTATTCTGTATTATCCAGATTTCTGCTTTCCCTTTCAGGGAAACTTCAGCTAATGCCCAGACAATATCCTACTTGCTGAATTAATTATACTATATTAATGATTTTCATCAATACGAACCTGTCATAAGACTCATAAGGCTTTGGACAGCATAAAAAATCTTTTCTCACTCTCTATTGTTGAATAAAACTCTCATCTCTCTCAGTTTAATCTTAAATGCATAAAGTGAATTAATTGGATAACTAAACTCCATTAAAGCAGTGTATATTTTGACACTGGATGATACTGGTTATGAAAATCAAATATTAAACACTTTCTAAAAAGCCTTGAAACAAAGGCAAGTATATCCATAATTCATTCTGCTTCAACTACAATATTTTGGTTCTTGTTCTTTAAAACTTTGGAGATCTATTGAATTATCAAGATGAGGATAAAACTAATGGAAAACTGTCAAATAAATGAAAGATATTTGTACTTGTTCAGTGGAACATGATAACTGATGCAGATAGAAGGAGAAATCAGTGCTCATTCCACTTGTTGGGCATGATGCCATGTCCAGCCTGTGCAGATGTAAAACCCAGGGAAGTCTCTTCCTTGCAGAGGCTAAGTTTCAACACGCAAAATAAATTGCTATGGAAGCTGTTATGATCATTTGAGATAGTTGCAGAAAAGCTACAATAAATGAATAGTTTTTCTCTGTTGCAAAATGTTGTTACGTTAAAGGCAAAGCAATTTCTGAAATGACTGTTGTTAGTTGTTACTAGTGTTAATATTTTTTATTAAGGATGGACCGTTACAGGGTAAGAAAATGAAAGAGAAAAAAGATTTAAAAAAAAAAGCGCCTGTAATAGCTGCATTCAAATGGTATCTTCAAGGAATTTCTAGAATATACATTCTGCTCAGATTCTCAGATTGTTGTTCTCTTTTTGAAGCAAACTTATTAAGTCTGTTTTTTTTTCTTTCCAGTGTGAAATCAGTTTCTCATTGCTATGTTCCTGACAGAATAACAGCAGAAAGGTAAGTTCTCTCAGTTAGCAAAATAGCCTAATTCATGAGTAATTCTCTTTAGGTTAGAGTTCTGTCATTTATAGATATTGAAAACATAAAATGTTTTATTGCTTTGTATATGGGAGCAATCAAATCAGCAATAGCTTTGAGTCCCATAACTCTGCAATAGGGGAAGAGATCAGGAAAGGATTACCATATATTCAAGGTAAGTGAAACTTTTAAACAATTTATACTTGCTATTTGAAAACATACTTTTAACCCTTTAAAGACAACCACCTTGGCAGAAATTATCCCCAACCTCTTCCTGCTTTTTTACTGCTATACGTTTATGCAGTGTTAAAATCATGGGGATCATTTGCAGCTAAGGCCTCCTGGTCATACATGAGCTAGTGCTCTCCATGCCCATGAACTCCTGAGGAAAAAACACGAAGAAAAAACACCTGCCATTTGGAGCACTCCCTTGCTCCAAGGGAAAAGCATCTAGTTGCTTTCTGGTGAGAACATGAGTGAAGGTTGATGCTCTGCCCAGCCCAGAGTTTGTTCTTTGTCAGTGGCAGCAGGAGATGTGGTTTACAGAGACATTGATGAACACGTTAATGTGGAGAGAGAGAGAGAACCAAAAGCAACAGAGTTGACAGAATAATGAGTATTATGAAATGCAATTCTTGTCAAAACCGATTTAGGAAAAGCAGACAATAATTGAAATAAATGAATACTCTCTATTGCACATTCTCCTCCCCCTCCCCCCCCAGCAGTAAAAGGACATATAAATGTGCTTTCCACTTTTTTTGGTGTTGGCTCTTTGTCAAGGTTACCATTACTTGGCCCTCTGATACTTTGCTGCAAAATGCCTTTCTGGAATACAAGACATAGACTTGGAAACTTGCACTAGCCTCCTGGAAGCAGCTGCATCTATTTCAATAAATGCAATCTCTTGTGTGGCTTGGAGTTCATGTGATTGAAATAAGAAATAAATTTATGCAGGCAGCAAACACAGACTGTCTATAGCAAGTGGGAATGCTGGGAAAACATCCTATTGGAGAATATCTTTTTTTTCTTGTGTAAGTTATAAGTTATTTTTTTTTTACAAAGGTTCTCTTCCAGTGTTAGCTCATCAATATTGTGAGATTTGGTTTAGAAATATCTGAGCAAAACAAGGAGATTGCAACTGCTGTCATCTGAGAAGCTATGCATTGATGTAGTATTCAGGCTGGTTAAAATGATCATTTTGTGCTGCATGGAGAGTAAGAGCTTCCCATTCAGTGAACTGTCTAGAGCAGGATGCTCTTGACAGAGATGAAGTCTGTGTTACAGGAAACCTCCTTCCTCTAGAGTGTAAGAAGTGGCTCTGCGGTGGTTTTTAATGTATGTGTCCAAAATTTCCAAGTACTGGTTTGAATAGATAGTGAATGCAGAGGTATCTAAGAGAAGTGCAGCTAAACTTTAGAAGAGAAACTTTCTAGAATGTTCCAGGGAAAAAAAAAAAAAAGATTGTAAAGATTTACCTACCAAAAAGCGTGGATTTAGAGAAAATTTACTTGGCTTCTCAGCATTGCCAAATTTCAACTGTGACTCAGCAATGCTGACTTCCACCAAGCCTGCTACTGACATGCATTTTAAGCCTTGGAGATTGAAGTCCGTCACTTTAAATGGAAAACAAACAAACACATCAAATATCTTCTAAAACACATTGGAAAAGCAGCAAGTTAATTTTATATGTAATCCTGGTGGGGCACAGGGTAAAACCAGCTGTTCCCATTTCTCAGCATCTGTAAGAATTCAGGCCTGTATGAAGACCTCAGTTAACACAATAGAAGTGGCATGCAGTAAGATTTTTAGCATTAAAAAGGTGTTTAAAACAAATCGTGTTGTGATGAACATTGTAGAGAAGAAGCAATAATAAATCATTCAGATTTCCAATGTTATAAATGAACCGTGAAGAATCTAGCATGATCATGTGGTGATACTGAAAAAAGTATGGAATTGCTCAGTTTAGTTTTGTATGCTTACAAAAAGGAATTGTTTTCCAGATGGCCAGGTTATAATAGACCAATTTTTTTTGTTTTTGTTCCAGTGTGTGCATTTGAGAGTTTCATTCTGCATTTCCCTTTGTGTTAAAAAATAAAGAATATAGATCTGTTATTTCTCCAGCTTAAGGGCCCTGTATGCCTGATGAGCCAATTAGCTGCTTGTGGACTTGCTTTGGGTCTGGAAAGCTGGGGCTCACACAACTAATTCACATCTACTATTTGCCACAGCTATCTCCTGAGCCCCAGCTTTCCAGACCTTTATCTGTCCTTGAAGACAGATGCCCTTTCTGAAGGGCTGTGCATTTTCTTGCTGGGAGATTTAGTTCAGGGATATGGACACAATCCTTTGGCACAATCAAACAAAGGTCTCTGTGTACTTTCATTGCTTAGTCTTCACGTATCCAAAATCTGTCTGTTCCTTCGATTTCCTAGCACATTCTAAAAATCTTCTTCAATTTATTTTTGTGTAAGATGGCTTACACAACTCTCCTCACCGTATAAACCTAATGGTGCCTCCAAAATTCCTCTGCCACGGTAACACCATGCTCCTTACCAAGCTTTACTTCTGTGTTCCCATGTCCTGTATGAGGTGTGCCGTCATTAAGGTAATCTTTTCTACAGTAATCACTTAATTCACAGCTCTGTCTAAGGATCTTTGTGCTTTTGCATGGCCCCTCAAGATTTGTATCAGCCATGTCCCAGCTCTAATGTTGCAGAAAACAGTATAGCAAGATCTACACCTAAACAGATTGCAGATCTTCAGCCTCTCCCTCCTACATCATCTCTGATTGCCAGCCAGTAGTGAATGTAGGACCTCCAAAGTACAGAGAGAGCAGAGGAGGTCTTTCCAGGAGGCTGGAGCTTGGCAGGTGCTGTGGAAGGTGAGGGACCACAGCTGAGGTCTAAGGGCTGTTTTGCATCTTGTTTCTCCCACGAACATGTCCTATTTTGCTGACCACCACTCATGCTCTGTAACTCCCATCACACAGCCCGGTCCAGCTCTGTCCCTCGGGCACTGGGAGGTAGGGGCAGGGCTGGGAGCTGTGCCTGGGCCACCATCATGCTGTGCCTCCTTCCCAGCACAGAGAACCTGAGGGGTTTGTCCTTCAGGCCTGGAGGCAATACCTGATTTCAGTGCATCTTATTGCTAAATCCCTTTGGCAACAAACTTTATTTACATTTTATAATTACCTTAAAACCTCATTACAGCAGACACCTGGTACTTGCTGTCACATTTAAGGTTGCAAAACAGTTTCCATAGCAACTGCTGTCTGCACACCACAATTTTGCAGAGTGTTTTCCTATTGGCTAAAAAGAACCCCACAATTGCTTTCTGTCCAAGGTTTAATTTTCTCATCAATCAATTCTGAATTAATTTGAGATGAAAGAATATATTATTCCGTATTAGAAAAAAAATACATTCCCATTTTCTTCTAGACAAAGCTATTGCAAAAATAGACAGGCTGAGGACTACCAGTATTCTTTTGGGTGGAAAAAAATGTTGATTTTAATTGAGTTTAAATTGAAATAAAAAATGTATGTATGTGACAGTGATTTATTTTTGATCATTTACTTATACTGTCATGTGTCTGTTCTTTTACTGGACTTGCCCAGCAGTTTTAAATACTTAATTTTACAAATATAACCTAGAGGTCTGAAAGGTTGTCTTTTTTTTTTGCCACTTAATGTAATTTGAATCTTAACTATTCACATAAGAGCCAGTGTTTTAAGACTACATCCTTTTCACATTAGCGTAGATGTAGCATTGTTAGAATCAGTTAAAGCTAAAGCTATTTAACATGCTGAGATTTGGAGGCTCTAGCTTTGCATTTATCACTTTGACTCAACTCAGACTCAGGATTTGCTGCTTTAAGTATCTGGAACTTAAAATTAGCAAAATGATTTTCTTCAGACATATTTCTACTGACACTTAAAGAAATCTGCAAAGAAAATCCAGTATGAAGAAAATAACCATCTTAGTTCTAAAGTTGTTTGTGTTCAACATAATGACTTATGAACTGATACTTTAGTAATTTTGCTTTGGATCTCATTCGATATACATGTTCTAACACTGCCTCTTAATTTGTCTGTTGTTGGATTTCTTCAGTCTCTCAAGCTTTATGAAGATTCTTTGGTTTTTTTTTTGAATATTGTGCATAGTCTGCTTTGCTCAGTTTGGTATGCCAATCAATATAAATTTAATTTAAGGATTTAAATTGTGGCTGTGTCTAAGGACAGCAAAATTCTTGGGAATCTAGATATTCAGTTACCTTTTAACAGTACACAAGCAACTTCTATTAACTTGAAAAATGCATTTCAGATCCATTGACAATTCTCAGACCTCTTGGCAGTTTCTTCTGCACCACTTCTTTGTTCACAGCAGCTGCAGCAGTTACAGGCCTCCCACTGCACTTCTGGTGCAGTTTTATGTAAGGTTCCTCAAACTCACAGCTTCCTGCTTGACCCTTGTTGTCCTGCTATTCAACGCATTACAGCCTAGATGTATTCTTTTTCTTTAAAAAAGCAGTGCAAGTTAATCACACGTTTACATATTGAGAGATCAGAAGAAAAATTCAATTCTTTCAAAAGTCAGAACTGTATCCCTTTGAGCTGGTAGTTCAGCAGCACATTAGCAGAAAAAAGGTACATTTACCTTCACCCTTCTTTGCATCCTCATCCATTAAATTCAGACCTTCTGGGATTTTACTATATTATTATTGTTATGTTAATCTATAATGAGAGAGTGCAGAAAGACTGTAAAAAGAAATATGTGGAACGAGAAAGATCACAGGCATTTCAAATAGCATTTAGTGTAAGTGAAATGGGTGAATGGATCTTTTGCTGTTTCTGTTCTGGTGCTGACTGTTAGAGGATGTTATTCCTAAGAATCTGGTGAATGTGTTTGTTTCTCAAGTCTGGCTGGTTGTTATTACAGCTCAGTTCCTGGACTGTTCTATAACAGCAACATAGTTTTTATAGTGTGACACTGCACATTACATGGCAATATTAAACCATCTTTACTTGCTGTGCTTGAATAACAGAAGCAGGTCAATAAAGCAGATGAAAGTTGAGATTTACGAAGACAGCACTAGCTAGAAAGGGAAAATGGGACTGATCTGTGCAACGTATTTGACAGCAAGCAGAGCATTATTATGAATATGGAAATGCAGGGATGTTGTTGTTAATGAGAGAATGCATCAAATAGCAAACCAACATATTTTTCCTGCAGATGAAGTCATTTTCCTCGTGATGTAGGCAACTTCTGCCATTTCCTCTAGTGTTTTTATCATTACAGTTTTTTGTGTAGTGTTTCCAAACACTACAAGATGATTTCTTTGGTATGACTGTCTGTTAATGTTTGGGGATTGAACACATCAGTGTTTGAGTTTGTCGTAGTGATACCATCTACTGACAAAGACTTTTGAGGCACGAGAATTTACATCTATAGTGGGTCTGTTTGTTTACTTGTTTCTTTGTTGTTTCAAAACAACATTTCCCAACTAGCTAGAAAAAAGCACATTCTTTTGACTTAAAGGCCTGTCAGAACACTGAGCTGAGAATGGACTTCTAGATGAACATAATATTTGCTATTTACATATGGCTCATCTTGTGTTTTAGACAAACTAGCAACGCTTGATCTAACCCTTTCCTACAACTAAAGACCAGGATAACTACTGGAAATAGGCAGCTGGAGTCTTCCCTTTTGGTAATCTGTGGGAGGGGCATAACAAATACAATGCTCAAAGACTACCTTCTTTCATGTTCTTGGTACACTGGGTTTTGTTCTGATTTTGAGTGCCTGTCATGGAATAGAAGGAGATGTTCTGAAATTGCTAATTCGTTGTATGCTGTGCTGGTAAGAGTCTCTGCAAGAGTGATGTGAAGACACTGTATATATGAAATAGCCTAATTCTATCTTACACTAAGAGCTGGGAAAAAGCAAAACTGGGCTTTTCCAGAATGTGAGCAACTGAGAATGGCTGTAATAAGATCTTTAGATCCCTAGAGTCTGCTGATGAGGACCTTGCCTCAGTTTGCTGAGGAGAGTGATTGAATTACAGCAGATTACATTACACTATATTTGTTGTTAAGTGCAATTTATATTAACAAAAAGAAAAAAAAACAGTAAAAAAGAAAAACAGCAAAAAAAGTATTCTCCCCCCCCCCCCCCCGCAAACAAACAAACAAAAACCCAACATTAAAAAAAAGTATTTTTTTTCATGGAAATTACTATGGCAATTGAATAAATATTTTCATTTCAGAGTGTTCTATGGTTTCTTTTGAGTCACTCATCATATCTCTACTAAAAGCACTGTAGAATTATGGCCGTGCTTGAGAGATCACATCCTTGAATGGAAGTTACCTGAAGAAAGAAGTAAGGCCTCTTGCTAGCGGTAGAATTTACAGTTGGGTTTTATGCTAGTAGAACATGATGTAGACTAAGCTGTTTAACAAAAAATCCATATGTTGTTGGAGCACTGAACCAAATATCTGTTCGCTTTCTCCTGTTGCTTAAATGTAAGTCATGAATCTAGGGACATACTGAAATTACTACAGGTAGGAATACAAAAAAATAAATTTTCCAGCACAAAGTGATTTGGGTATCGATTTTCTGTGCTGCTTCTAGAAATCTGTCATAACTGACTTCCTTTTTCTGAGCGCTGTGCTAAACAGTGTTTTGCTTATTTAATAAGAAAGCAATAAATTTTCTCAAAAGTGTACATTTCTAATACTTTTTATTTCAACAGAGGGTCGTCTTAACCTACAATAGTACAACTAGAAAGATTTTCTGTCAAATGTATCTTTTTAGAAACTCGATTATTCCCTGACAATTTAAAAATCATTTTAAAATTACTATGGATTAAAGGATGAAAACAGTGCCTTCCTTGTAGTGACAGAGCTTCCATATTCATCTTTAACCTCAGCAATGTGTAGATCCTGTAAATTTTCATGGAAGTTGGAATAATATGTGTATATATATATATATATTTAAAAAGTGCATTTAATTAAGATTCAAAAATTATAACCAAGGGAGTGTTTACAGCCTTGTTTCTTCTAGTATGTCATTAACCTTATCCAATGGAGTTGTGTCATATTTCAAAGCTGAGCTTGTACAATTCCACCTTCTGTCTAGTGATTTTATTCACAGTGCAGCTAACTTGTCATGCAGTCCGATATATATTCTTCCTGCAGTTGTTCACTGATGCAGAGATCAAGTCTCTTGACAACCCCCTTTTCAATAACTTGAATTTGAGTTCCATCATCGTTAAGATTCAAGTCATTTATTTATTTCAGTCCTGTGTTATTTTTGTGGTCTTCTTTCCAGTATTTCTGAGTCGCTGTAGGAATGTGAGTGGTGGGAGCTATACTAGTTTTGTTGGTGCAAAGAGCTGTAGCTCCAAGGCAGTGTTCTTAACGTTCTAATGTTCCATATATCCCTTTTCTCAGCATAGCACCAGGCACACATTGAGGCATGAATTTTCAGTGATCTCTGTGTTCATTTCTGAATCACTGCTGTGAAAGGCAAGCTCTTGACCTCTATGAACTCTTTATTCCCAGGTGTATCAATTTGCATTTGCGTGATTAAGATTCCTTTGATTAGATTGCGATCATCCAGCTAGCTCTAGCAGTTGAATGTCTTCTTTCATAAACCATCATTTGTCATCCTACCAAAGATCTGTAAATTTCTGAAAAATCTCCTAACATTCCTAAAAACTCATCCATTTTAAAAAGTATTCCGTGCAGATTTTACAGTCAGTGGTCTGCCCTTACTCATACTCTGGGAGTCTCTTAGGTAAGCTATAAAAACTTTCAATAGCTTCTTTGCAATCTCCCACTTGTAAATTTCCATTTTAAGACAAATATCTTGGTGATGACCAAAGGGACTATATTGACACAGTTGTTTTTATCAGGCTCCTTTTCATCTTTCTGAAAAAGCTAACAGGTTCTTTTAACAAGACCAGCTTACTTAGAAAACATCAGTTGTAATGGGTAGGCTGCTGACTGACATTGATGATATTTGAATCTCTGTTGTAAGTTAATAGCTAATTGCTTTGGGCTTCCCATTGGGCTGACCAGTTTCCGGTCTAATTTCACTGTCATCACTTTTATTGCTTGTAAACACTGCAAATATACTGGGAATATTCTGTGCTTGAGAATTTCCTTTGATTTTCAGATATGTCAAAAAGTTATCAGTGGTTCAGAGAGCTTCCAAGCTAATTATCTGGGCCTGTTGATTTGAAATTGTTACACTTTTCCAGATGCTACCTTATGTCTTCTTTTATTACAGGTCGCACATTTCTGATTTGCTCACAGTCAGGTAAGATAAATATATGTTTTACTGCTCTCTTTTACATATAGGACAAAGAATTAAGAAGCTTATCTTCCTTTTATGAATTGGTATTTGATTTTACTAACTGTATGACACTATGTGCCTTGCTGATGAGTTCCTCTTTTTCAGAAATTGTTTTTAATTTTTTCGGGTTTTCATGTTTAAGGTTTTCATCGTCTGTGACCTCACTTGCTACGTGCATCATATTCATTTGCACTGTAAATTTTATAACGTGGCTATTAGAATTTTTCCTTGTGCTTTTCTTTTTTATCCTACTTTGTTTTAGTGATGATGAAACTGGAAGTGTGTTTCATTCCCTTTGTTTTTAAACACGGCACATTTTTCGGGTTTGTGAAAGCGTGGGTTTTTTGGCATGCAGTAGGAATTTTAGTCAGGTTTTCAATTTGAAATGTGGTACTCAGGAGTGATATTGCTTTTGCTATTGCATACACATGGGGGTTGAAAGAAGAGAAAGATTTCAGGAGATCCATGCTTTATAAATATTTTCTTTTTTTAAAGAGAGAACTATTTCTTTTTTTTTTTTTTTTTTCTAAAGACAGAACTTAAAAGTACATTGGCTATAGCAATAAATAAAACTAATGCAAAAAAATATGAAACCAAGAAGAAACAACTTATATAAAAAACTTTGAAAACTTGGCTGGTTATACAAGAGAGATTTTACTGAGGATGAAAAGAGTGAATTCAGGACTATAGTTTTACTTTTTAACTTTTAACTTCCCAACCAAGCACAGAGTCATGGAAATTAGAGAAAGGTGAAGCAACTGACTCCTTTGAAAGTGAAACTGTATGTCTCATCTCAGAATCAGGAGGGAATTCAATGAACTGATTAATACAGAATCCCTTTCACGTGTATTAAATAAGGGTTCTCGGTTTCTGAACTTGCATTGGAAAAAAGTTGTAGCTGATATTAAAACTGTTTGCTCTATTTATGACATTGTGATTCAGCTTAGAGACAGTAAAGACAATGTCATCTGATTGAGAGCTGACCAGATTGAATTTATTGCACGGATTGCTGTTTTGTGATTTGAGATCAGAAATTGGAGATATGCAATAGCAGTAAACTTTCATTGCACGTGTATGGTACAGATGGCAATGCAAGAGTATGATCCTGCATTAGAGTATGATGAAGGAGCATAAGTAATGTATTAGCCATACTGAAAGCTCTGTCTGTTGTGTCCAAGAGTAAACAATTGCAGTTAAATGCAGTTCTGGAAAACATTTTGGTCTTCCTGAGCTGCAGTTCTGTATCAACTTCTGTGAGTAATAGCAACTAACAAACCCATTTTAGTAACTTATCTCATTACCTGCATCCCACCATACACAGAGCTGCAAATCACAGCCAAAGCATCACAGAGAGCTTGATACTGGCAGAGATACCTTGACACTGAAATGACTGGACTCAAAAGTTGGCATGAAATTTTACAGCTGCATTTTGAGAGTTTTATATACTTGAATATCCAGAGTCACAGTGGTGATCCAGTCTAGAAATAGTATTGTATATCTACTGAAACTCAGAGTGATGAATGCTTGTTCTCAAGCATGTTTGGAGAAAAAAGAACAATCCTCTTTGGCATTTTGAAGCCTACAGAATTAAGGAGTCTGAAGCTTATTGTTAACAGGGCTGTAAACATGCTGCTTGTGTCTGCCTTTCTCTAGACTGTACAGATGTGAACCAAGTCTGGTGTAGAAGGCTGCTGCCTTGTTAGAGTAATGTTAATAAGCTGATAAGAGGCACTGCATATTATCTCAATGTCCTGCTAATGCAGCTGCATTACACCATGAGTGGACTGAAGCTGACACAGAATCACAGAATGGCCAGGGTTGGAAGGGACCTCAAGGATCATGAATCTCCAACCCCCCTGCCACATGCAGGGCCACCAACCTCCACATTTAATACTAGACCAGGCTGCCCAGGGCCCCATCCAATCTGGCCTTGAACACCTCCAGGGATGGGGCATCCACAGCCTCTCTGGGCAGCTGTTCCAGTACCTCACCACTCTCTGTAAAGAATTTCCCATCTTTTTCTCCCATCCACTTGACTTGGAGAGTAAAAAAAGAAGTGTCTATATAGTTCAGGGTAGACAGTGATGAATACTTAAGGTCAGGATGTCTTTGAAACAGTAATCTTCTCAAGTTCCCTACACAGAAAAGCATTCAGGTTAGTTTTGAATGTCTCCAGAGAAGGAGAGTCTACAACATCTCCAGGCAGCCTGTTCCAGTGCTGTGTCACCCTCACAGGAAAGAAGTTCTTCCTCATGTTTGTATGGAACTTCTATGTTTGTGCCTGTTGTCCCTTGTCCTTTCACTGGGCACTGCTGAAAAGAGCCTGACCCTATCCTCCTGGAAATGTTTTTGACATTTATCTTCTAACTTCACTCCTATTGTGACTGAAAGGTTTTTTTGTGTCTAATTTTGGAAACAATCCATCTGTAAAACATCTCCAAATTGCTAAGTAATGTGAAGATTTACAATGTGACAGCAACACTGCTCATTCTGTTATTGCAAATAGCTGTTTTTGTGTCTCGTTGCTGAGAGCCACCATCACAAAATATGCTTCCAAAGACACAGAGGAAAACAACCCCATTTGCTAGAAACCTTTCAGATGTAATGTTCTGCAATAACCTCATACACTTCAGTACTAGATTGGTATGTTTGCAGTTGTCTCAGGAAAGGAAATTTTTTGAAAACCGGGCAGCCTGCTTTAGCAAGGAGTTGGACCAGATGGCCTCCATCAGTCCCTTCCAACCTCAACTTCAACCCGTCTGTAATTTTGTGAAAATTAGTACAGGACAACTGAAATAGAGCTTGGGCTGTTTGTTTGGAATAGGTATTATCTCTGAGAAATAAAAGCATAAGGAATGCCATCTGGCCCATGAAAATATGCCACTGGAATGATTATTGTTTTAAAGAAAACAGTCTACTAACATTTAGCAGTGTAATGAATATCATTGCTTTCGCTTGAATTAGGATGGTAAAACTGAGGATTTTCTAGAGCAAGAAAATCCTCCATTGTTTGAGGAACAAAATTGTTCAAAGTCATTTATATAGCCTCTGGATAAATTAGCTGATTCAAGTCCCCTTAGCAATGTAAAGCTGATCCTGAATTACGATTAAAGCTTCTCTTGCGATGGAAATACATGCATGGCACTGCAGATGTAAAGCCTCCTACACATTCAGTGTTCTGTTCCTTAGTTGGTGTTTCCCTTGGCACATAAAGAACACTTTAGTTATCCCAGGAGATATCAACGTGCTGACTGTGACGGCATATATCACAGCTGATATATGTACAGCATGTATCACAAGCTGTACAAAATGAGTTTTGTCATGTCATCTGTAGAGAGTAACTGTACCGATCATTTTCAGCCAAGGGAAAGCTTTTGTCTTAGATGTGAACCAGGAATGTCTGAATGGTTTGGAAGTGACTGGAAAGTGGTGGTCATTTTACAGTGCAAGGGTGGTAGCTTTTAAGAGCCTGGTAAATGTGTCTGCATCCTTCAGACAAAGGAAATGAAGTTCAACCAAAAAGTACACATTAATCAATTTGAAAAGTCCTGCCCAGTTGGTGCAGCCAGGAAAGTCCATTACTGAACTATCTCTGCCATTTACATCTCTGGCAAAGTCATATTTCAGATGGACATACAGAAGCTATGGGAAACAAAACTCTTCTCAGTTATAAGTTTAAAACTGGCCCTTGGGCAAATGACTGAAGTTTCTGTTTTCAAATATGGCTTCAATTTTTAGGTCCTCTACACATGATACATAGGTGTATATACAAATTATACATAAAGTCATTGGCTTTTTCTGAATTCAAGAGGATTCAATACCTGTTTTTTTTCTATCAACTACTACTTAAAAACATATTTCAGATTTCTAGGCAAAAAAGCAAACAGCTAAAAATCAAGTAATTAAACGTGAGGTATTTTTGAAGTATGACTTAATTTCCTGCAATTCAGCATCTCCACCTATAGAGCGACTGTCTCAACTGGATATTGAGAAGGTTTGTTGGCTTAGTGGTAAGCTGGAAGGACATCATTAGTACTGCTCTCAATTTGCACTAAAAAAACTCGTGAGAGGAACAGTCCATGGTAATTCCTTTCTGCTAGCACAGCTATCTCCCTGATGCTTTGTCAGCTGAATTTCTGTTGCCCTTCAATGGACTTGCTTCTAAATCTCACAGATACTGAGATCCATCCAGTGCTGAATCTCCATCCCAGTTATCTGCTAGGTGTGACTGTGCAAACCTTGTCAGCATAACCCTAAAGGATCTGTACTTTCTGCTGAGAGATCCTGTGGAAATGATGAACGTATGCCTTCACAGTACTTCTCCATCCTGTTATGCCCCTCCATCAGCATGTCTGCAATAATTGAGGAGGATGTTTTAGCTGGGGGGCCTCTACTCAAATATACATAATTGGGATTCTCTGCGGGGAGCCTTTGTAAGTCTGTATCTGCCCCCTGCAAGATGATTGCAATGCTGGTCACGTAATGTCTACTGTAGGCTGAAAAAAGTCACAGTGCAAACTTGCTGGACTGGCTGTTAAATACATTAAACTCTTCTAATTGGAATGCTTGCACTGAATAGTAAAATCCTGAGTCTATATTTATCTTTATAGTGTCTAATTAACTCCCTATGAGATTGGTCATTCAGGCCTCAGGTTTCCAGGAGCTATGAACCAATTCTTAATTCCCAGTTAAACGCAGAGATTTCTCACTTTAGAAGTTGTCTTTTGTATTTTGAAATTTAAATAATTTCAACTTCAAACAGGGATTGAATTTTACATAATTTTCTCCCCTGGCTTTGATAAATTGTGAGCCTCCACAAAAGGTAAAATTGTTTAGCTGGCTAGCCCAAGCAAACCTGTTTTTGAATAAAACTTCCTCTTTGCTCAGCAGTTAAAACTTTGTGGAGAAGATTTTTGTATGTGTGAAAGGCACCTTGTCTGCACACCACAGAAGCTCACAATCAT